CCAATCAAAACTGGCCTTCCTCTCCCTCGCCCCTTCACTTTACTGTTAGGTTCATGCAATTTTCGACCGTCCAGGAGTCGCCGAACCTGTTACATGTCAGACTACAGTAGCAGGAAAAAAAAAACATGGTTGAGGTAGGGAATCGACTATTTGAAAACTCCAATTAACGGGACTTTGTTCCATAATAATTCAATCGAATGTTACATGGGATCAGGGCAGCGTTCCCCTCCTTCTCTCTAACGCTTTACTGTCACCGATGTACCATGTTCCACCCAGGTGGAGTTACCATAGAGCGGTAATGTAAAATGTTTTCAACCCAGTAAAACGTTTCCACAGACTTCTTTCTCTAAATTATGAAGAACAGAGAACTAGCAACAGAACTGTTTCTGCCTACCACATAAGATTCCTGTTATGATAATGGTACTTATGTCTTTGTGGTGTGTTGCGTTCTTCAAGTAGACCTACAGTAAATAACTCTCAATATCAGATGATGTCTCCATTTCCGTAAACTTTATTGCACAGATCCGGTAAAGAAACGCAAAATTAGCTGTGGTTGTCCAACAACGTTTCAGAGGTCATACTGCCTCCGTCATCAGGGCGATTCTTAGTATGAAGATTTCTGTCTTCTGGGTTGTTGCGCTGTGTAGTCTGGTTGATGTTAACCAACGTTTCAGAGGTCATACTGCCTCCGTCATCAGGGCGATTCTTAGTATGAAGATTTCTGTCTTCTGGGTTGTTGCGCTGTGTAGTCTGGTTGATGTTAACCAACGTTTCAGAGGTCATACTGCCTCCGTCATCAGGGCGATCAATGAGCCAATCGGGCGGAAAATGCTAAATTTATAGGGTTTGTTACCCTCGTTGGAAAATATTTTAACTTTGTCACATGTTCCATTGACTTATTTCTAAGGGTAAATCCACTTAAAGGAATGTGTCTAATTCATCACAGTCTGTCTTATTTACGAAAAATCTATGGAACCGCATGCATCATGCAAACCTCGATTGAGAACAAAGGCGAGAATTATAATAGATAGAATTCCAAGTTTTACTGCACGTTTCACAGAAAACGACCTATCTTTCCTACGAATGAATTATTGGTATTATTAAATTCAAAATTACATGGTTCATGTGGCATTTATCTTTCTCTGCTTCTTACGTCTTGCTAAAATACTGATATGCGGTTAGCTTTCGAGCGTGGTGATGATTATGACGATGATCGCCGCGCGTGACTGACAAGTCAAGTGGCGCTGCGTGACGGCAGGAGCCGTTTGCATATATCGCCACTAGTGGCAGAGGCGATTTATAGACGTTAATGTAATATCGCCAATGACAATATAAACTAGCTCATAAATACGAGGTAAGTATCCACGTACTTGGAAACATTAAAACGTGACTGTAAATGTTTAGTACAGAAACCACTAACAAATAAATGCAGTACACACATATTAAGATCGGAATGAATAGAACGTCATGTAAGGATAAATGAACGATGTGTAGGTATACAACTTTGTGAACGTCAGAAAGTGAGGAATTTGTCACTTGCTCTTGTGTGTAAAAGAACCAAATATCAAAACAAAATGGACGCCACTGCTTTCAAAATGCAAGAGAAATTAATAAAGGCAATAGACTAAGTTCTGTGCAAGAAATTCAGCGTGGATGTCGAAATCAAATTGTTTAATGCAAATTATGAATGTATGTGCGTGAGTATCTGACTTAGGTAGGATCGTGTGGGCGATAAGAAGGCTGTCGGTTTTCGTAAAGCTTAAATCCGTATTTTTATTCCTCGCGCGGTCTAACTGGTTGAGAGGGACGATCTAAGTGTCACGACATTCCTAAATGTTTGGAGGTAATGAACATGTTACTTGTTTACCAAGTTGTAGTCCTGACACTTGCAAAGAATGTTAATGTTAATGCAATTTATACAAGGAAATGTTATTTTGCACCTGCTATAAATTTTCTCTCCATTAACGGAACGCAAAATATCAAGCGGATACATTACAGATCTACTAGCAGTAATCATAATTCAATTCTTTTTATTAGAGTACTGCATCAACAGCCAGACGGCCAGTTACAGATATAGCACAAAAAGTGAAGTAAATACAATAATCATATAATAATAATAATAAAGTTCCTAGCAAACAGACGGTCAATAATTAAAACAAAGCAAAAAAACATAATTATTTATAGATGAAGCAATACTATCTACTTTAGGATATGCCTAAGAGTAAGCAAGTGGTTACTAACGATGTCAGAATTATTCCAAAGAGTATTCGCAGCTGATGCGTATTTAGCAGAAGGACAACTTTTGCATGCGGGGCCAACAGTAAAAAGAGAGAAATCTCTAAAATTACGAAATGGGACACGCACACCAACAGTCTCGAATAAGGAGGGACAGAATTTATATCCGCCATATTACGTTAATAAGAAAGAGGACGTCTAGGTATAATAATAAGTAGGCCTGTTAAAATTAAGTTACGTAAAAATTGCAGTTATAAGGAAGATTAATGAGCAAATGGTTTGTATATAATTCAGTTTCCAAGCAGCCATAATTTGACAACGTTCTAGGTTGTGTCAGGTTGCATGACATTATTTGATTTGTTTACTATCCGCCCAGTAACAAGCAGCAATAGTCAACAGCCCGCCATAAAATAAGTAACATAAAACCCCAAGGAAAGGGGGAGGGGGCAGAATACTAACTGGGTCATAATAGGTTTTTCTCCCCCTTTGCATATCTCAGTATGAGTTAGAGTGAAGTGGAGGTAAGTGAACAAGTTTGCAGCATTTTGCCCCGGGGAAGGACAGTGGTTCGCCTGAGTATGAGTCGTCTCCAGCCCGCCGGCCAGTTTGTTAACCGGTTCCTGATTACTGATTATTCCCTGGAATTCGTTAACCGCTTAAATCACAGAGGTAATCATAAGTAACGTCTGCTTTAACATTCGATATCTCTGCTGAGATATCGAAATGGTACGCCTCACAAATATTTACTCAGTGCACTTAGACACATTCGCCACTAAGTCCGTTTTCTTCAAGTGGAGAACGTTGAGGCACATTCTGAGCCTTCTGCCTAAAAACAGTAATGAAGATTTAAAGACTCTCAACAATTTCAGATAGTAGACGTGTTGTAACATAAGTGGTCTAAATAATATTAAAATAATCAAGAACTTTTTGCTCTACAAAAATTAACTCATCTTAATTTTAATTTCTGTAAGTAGGGCCAAAATGTTGCGAGTTTAAACACTTTAGAAAATAAAGAAAATATGAATTAAATATATATTGATCTGACTTCAGTAATTTGTTGGGTCACTAGTTCTGATGAACATAGCTAGGCTAATTATCAGTCTGCCATAACCATAAGGCAAGATTCACACCGAAGTAACTAGCAACAAGCAACAGGCGATAAGCGATAGATGTCGACTACAGAAATAACAAGATCTGCGATGTGAACAATTCACACCAGAACGACAGAGATGTCACTTTTAAAATTATCGTTCATTCATATACGGCATAATTTATAGCGGATTATTGCAACATCAAATGTTCATATTGTGTGCAGCGCATTTTTGAAGACATTAACAAGGCTACTGAAGAACAACAAAATGTTCATCATCATGATGAACTATTTAGGGTTTAGGTCGTATGGCCTGTTCCTATGAATCCCACTATAGATGTCCTGGTCCTTCCATCGACGTTTCGGTCGTCCCGTCATCGAGTTTGGTAACGGAATGCCAATTTTGGAAGCCTGTTTTTGTCCATGCGTTGCAAATGGTCTTTTAAATTTTGTTGATATTTTTGTATTTCTTTAACTATATTTATAACCTGACGTTTTTCTCTAAAACCAGTATTCCTCTGATGAACCAGCCTGGTAAAACCTAATAGTGGTCTCGAAAAGCGCATTCGTGCTGCCTCAAGTTTTTGAGTATCTCTTCCGTTTAAAATCCACACTTCACTACCATAACTGAGTGCTGATTTCGGGGTAATATTGTTTAAACGCAGTTTCGTATCAACTGTCACTTGTTTGCCAAAAAGTTTTCTAATAACACAACAACAAAATATTAAGTGTTTGAAAAAGATCGAACATGCGTTGCAATGTCAACTTCATTCGCCGACATTTTCACAAACAAGCGATTTGCTTTGGTGTAAATGTAAGGCTGACATGATATCCCCTATCGCTTGTTGCTATTTTCTTTGGTTCCGGACAGTGGTACCATCACGCGGTTGTTCCCATAACTAGACGAAGGTCGACCAAGACCGGTAAAAGCAATCGTAGGACAACTTCAAACGGATATCAAGTTAACGGCAATTAAAACTCTTACGTTATATAGATATAACTATTTTGCAGAAAGAAGATAATCAACCATTTTGTACCGAGTCAGCCATAATTATTTTCAGAAAATAAACATAAATATTTGTGAAACTTAACCACTGTAAACGATCAAAACTATATCAACAGGCCTAAAACCAAGAAGAAAGAGACCTCGTAAGACACCTAGGCGTAGATAGGAGGATAAAGAGACAGATTTTGAGGAAGTTAACTGGAATAATATAGCCCAGTGGCTGGCTCTTGTAGATTCTCAATAAAACTTCGAGTTATATAATAAGCATAGCATTTCTTAAATAGCCGAGCGATTATAATCGCCTCAAGAAGAACTATAGCCTATGGAATCACAATGAAATCAGAGGCAAAATTTTGAAAACCTCAGACATGCTAAATTATAGTATTAAAAGCAAAATAAAATACAAATTAACGTAAAAGCGTACATAAGAAATTAAAGAAAGAAACTGAAAAAGGAGAAAAAGGGTGATATAACGGTCATATCTACGAAGGTCACTTCGAGGCCATATTTATACGGTCCTATACATGTGGCGACTTTACATATTTAAGTAGTGGGATAGAACCCCGCGGCGCTAATTCTACGATGTTATAACTGAGGCGTACCAGAAGTGGCCACTGCAACTTTAATCAAGTGCAGGATATATCTAATTAGTATGCAGCAAGATGCGAGGTAAGACTTACATAGACCTAGTTCTTGCGATGTCGACTGGCTATGGGCTGGACGAGCAGAGTTACATTTGCAGCAACGGACAGATCTTTTCTTCACCGCTACAACCGAACTGACTCCGAAGCCAGCATAGACTCCAATCCAGTACGTATCTATAACTATTTTCCCGGTGTATGGAGCCAAGGTTAAGATAAGTTGACATTTACCCCCTATATGCAGACGGAGTGAAAAATTTGTCTTCAGGTGTTAAATAGGATTTACACGTGGAACAATCACGTACATACACGGGTTCTTCTGGGTTGTAACGCCATGTAGTCTGTCAGAAGTTTACCAACGTTTCAGGGGTCATCGCCCTGATGATGGAGGCAGCAAGAATCTCTGAAACGTTGGTAAACTTCTACCAGACTACACGGCGTTACAACCCAGAAGGCAGCCATCTTTGGACTCACAGCCGTGAAAAACTCAAATCCTACATGAAACTTCATGGAGAAAAATTCTTCTTGAGAAACTCAAGATCACTCAGTTAGTCAAGACATTCACAGCTTTCATGGACCCAGAGGTTCATTACCTTGTTCAGCTAAACGCTATAAATGACTGAATGAAATAGTACCTATTGGCTGAGATACAACAACAACAACAACAACAACAACAACAACAATCCTCACTTAATACAACTAAGAAGCTATTATAGGTTTTGGGGTTCTCCCGTCGGAGATTACGAAGATTGCTGTGTTCTACGAGGCAGTCTGATTCATCGCCCTGAAGATTGAGACAGTAACGACATCTAAAACGTTGGCAAAGTTTTACCAGACTACACGGCGCTACAGTCCAGAAGACAGCCATCTCAGATAGTACCGATCTGATTTAAATCGACCAGACGTTCCAGATGACTTTAGGCTATTTATAAAATCGTTTACGAACAAGAATTACCACTGAGAGCGACTGTACCAGCAGTTCGCTTCTTTTCTTTGTTTCTACTACCCCAGTTTCCTCCGGCAGTCCCGTAAATCACTGCACTTGTCACAATCTGCATGTTGTGGGGTTGCGAGCTACAGGTAGCCGCCAAATGGAGGGTTGCGAACCAACATGTGGGCAAGGCATCACCACCCTAACTGCCGAATCACGGCCAAAATTATCTGATTCATAATACAGTATCCAACAGATCACGAGATAACCTCATAGCTGGAACAAAGTAAATCTAATATATACGATACCATCACAACGCGTTTTCAAAAGTTATAATCATCGAAGTGCACGTTATTTCATCATCATGGGGAAGTGCACAAATTATATAGTTTCCCTTGACTTAATAAATTAAAGATCACGGAAAACCATTAAAGCATGACACCTTCAGCCTTCATTTCACCATGACCTAGGTTCAAATCCAGCCTTCATGATAGATATGCCTATGTCTTCATCACCACTCACTATCGAAACCATCAACAGCCTAATGAGTGTATACTGCGTTCACTTTAGCGATACCTCTCGTCACTGTTACAATTTTTAAACAAAGGAGTGTCATTAGGCGAATGCTCGTTCAGGCGTAGAGTCGTAATAACGTAACACAGAGTCTAGTTCCGTTGAAACAGTCTTCCTGACTTAGAATAATATTTTTGACACGATATGCACAGAACGGGAATAAACAACTAGCATGTTTCCCCTTTCTTTCTACTTCAAATTATATGTGACGTCGAAGTCTGTGAACTGGATTCAGCTGGCTCAGAATGTTGTCCTGTGGCGGTTTCTTTTTGTGAACATGGCAATGAAACTTTGGATTACAGAAAATTCTGGTCTGCTAAGTGACTGTCATTTTCTCATCTGCCCCACGGTATTTTAGCCTTTAAACTATGCAGCTACAAAGGCCATGTCAACGTAAAAACGATTAGGCAGTGTGTGGATGCTGTAAATGTATGGAAATCACCTGGGATGTGGGGCCTTCTTACCCTCTAAACACGGTCCTGGATTTCAGCTGTGTTATGTGTAAGCTTTTCCGTCCAATTGATTTACAATAGCAAACTCCTTGCTGCCAGGAGGTGTGAATGCGTACGGCATCAACATTGTGTATATGCGATATCGATGCAGCTGAAGAGGCTGCAAAGTAGATCATTCTCTATGTTTAGGCAGTGAAGTCGTCAGAACGTTCGTATGGGTATGGGGATTAAATTTAGCGAGCCCTCTGAAATATTCAGTCCTCGACCGAAAGTTGCGTCAAGACTGCGTAGCATTCGTACGTCGTTTTCGGAATACGATTTCTGTTCACTATTACCATGACTGAGGTTTGTTACGGTGTCCCGAAGTCCCTCCGAGGTTCGATTCCCAGCAGAATAGGAATTTTTCTTTGCCACAAAGCCAGCCCAGCTAGTCTATCTGGTATCTTGTCTTATGGCTGAGGTATTTTTCTTCTTCCTTAGGCGTAAACTGTTCAAGGCGTGACAGTGAACACACAGCTTCTTATAACGTCAGAGTTAAGAATGCCTGAAGATATACCTCCACTTCCCCATACGTCTGAATGGAGTGGTGCTTAGTTAAGCATCAAGGACAACTTTACAAAAACAACAAAAATATGACAATAAAACTCCTATGGCTCGGATATCAGTTCCAGTACGGTTATATTTTTGGCAGACATGTCTTGTTTCTAAACAAACCTCTGTATCTGCCTGTAAAACTCTAGTAAGTATACTTTAATACACGAAGCTTTAATTTCATAACGAATCTCTGCCATAAAATCTTTACTATTTATGTACTTCACTTAACGTTTTAGTGGAGTAACTGGGGTGATGTCTGCGATGTACGAAGTCTTGCTCAAGAAGCATACAAAATTTAAGTTAAATAATCCACACAGTTTTACAGATTTGAACAATAATACTTTATTTCTGAGTTCAAACCCAATATGTAACTTAAACATATGATCTTCACACAAATGTGTAAGACATATACAAAGGTGCGGAAGGCAGGTGTAACTTATTTTCCTAATATGCATTCGTCTATTTTCTGTGTCGCAGGTGTGACGAAATGATCGCCAACTTCCGACGATGGAAACGAGAGTACCATCTCTCAAAATATAACATGATGACCATATATACAACACCGAGTTACAATTTACATAAGTGTATCTTGTACTATCGGCAGTTTCAGCCCATTAAATAATATAAACATAGTTGGCTTTAATACATACAACCAGAATTAGTAACATATATTTAATATAATAGTATATTTAAGCAGATAACAGGGCATCTAGTCTTCAAGTACTCGAAATCGAATATCTGAAATTTGCAACTATATGAATATCCAAATATTTAAATAATAAAACAATCGAATCATATATTATTTTAATGTTTTGGTATTTTAACATATGACAAACATTAAATTTAATGTTTAAATTTTTATGACACGTCATTGTCCCTAAGACATGTAACCTCGAGATAAGTCACGTCCGAGAATTGTCACTTTACTAGGAGTTATCCGCAGAAGCCTAGCGGCAAGCTTTTGTGACGCAGAAGTGTTATGTTTTCTTAGAGGTTTGGAATAAATTCTTAAATATTATTTAGTCTTTCGGCTTCAAAGGGCTAAATGTGATATTCGGTGGATAAATATTGGAAGCAACCGCTGAAGCAGTGTAAATCCAGCTTATACACTTCAGACAAATAACTGACTGTAAGACCATGAAATAAAAAGACAGCCCCAGCCATTTTCTGAGGCCGCGGGTCCTGCAGCCGATGTTTTAGAGTATGGGAGGGGGGGGGGGAGATCAAGCTGGAGAACGCTCCAGCATACAAATTGCAGCTAATGAGGTGTGTGCAAGGACGCAGCCATGTACGTTGTGAGAATATCACGCTTATATTGCAGTGCTGCATAACACAACCTCAGGAAGTCCGCCCTGGCAACATTCATTTCACATCTGAAGGTGTTCGAAATATGTACATAAGGCTTAGAGAAACAAGTTTCCAAGAGATGAACAACAGACACTTGCTAACACTATAAATCTGACTAATTAGTCCCTCAGTCATGTTTACGAAAATACGGGTGGTCCAAGATGCTACAAAATTGTGTTGTATAGAACAACCTGAGAACTGTGTTTTTAAAACTGCGTGATTTAATAAAACCAACTCCGTTTTTTAATACTTGTTTGATTAGTTTATACCTTTGGAGCCGAAATTCTACTTAATAATATTGAACAGTTTACTCCCTAACACAAAGAAAGCATAACGCATCTCTATTACAGAGACCAGTTGGTTAAAGCTGTTGAAGGAGACAATAGCTTATATGATTTGAAGCTTTCGCGGCGACATAACTCAATAAAATCTTGGGCGATGAGCCGGGTCAAATAGATAAAACACAAAACCGACGTTTCAGGGACCATCTGTCCCCATCATCAGGGTTCTGACGTTACACGAAACATTATTATACAGCGCGAATGAGATTGGAGAATTAATATACACATACATGATTAATGATTAATAAAATAATCCATGCACCAATATCTCGTCTTCTGCGCATTCGCAGACAGAAGAATCACTAAATCATTCATTAGAAATTAAAAACAAAAACAAAGCACGGCAACTGCTAGATGCTCATCGCACTTGCGTGCATTCCATTCTCATGGCTGATGTTCCGCATCTCGAATATTAATCTCGCTATCTTTAAAAATGACAAACATTATAAGTCATCCGTCCGAAATGTCTAACTACTGTGCTTGCTACCTAACGAGAGATTTCCATTGTCTAACATACATTGGTTCAGCCAGCACCAGCAGCACAGAAAATGATTTACATCGCGAAGTTGATATACATTTCAGATAAACTCAGGCCCAAACAATGGGTACGCAGGCGGTATATAATGCTGTCCTAAAAGAAGGGGGGGGGGTGAGCAATACACTGGAATGCTTCGATTCCAGAACAACTTACACGTGGATAAACGACATAACTACCATCAAAAGTGAATTTATTCATAAGTAAAATAATTTGAATTGCAGGCTCACACAATTTCTTTCAGTAAAAGACCATTTTATGAAGCTGAAATACACAATGTAGGTCCGTATCCTGTGCCGTCTATGAACCGAATATATCATGTAATGCAATAGAAAGTGAAAACCGAAGGAAGATGACTATCTTCTGGGTTGTTGCGCCGTGCAGTCTGGTATAAGTTTACCGACGTTTCAGATGCCCTTGCTGCTTCCATTGCGATTCCACACGCGTGGATGATGGTTCAGCAAGGACCTCTGAAATGTGAAACACAAACACACAAAAATATGCATGTGTGTGTGTTCAGAAATTCTACAATACAGAGACTAGGGCACATATTCTGTAGGTTTGTAGTCTCTATAGTTGGTCTTCATCAGTCTCGAAGCGAGTAAAAGTAAGATGTTAAAGTGTGTTGTTTGGGTGTAGAATGTTTAATGACCATGAATGGAATATAAAACTCCGACGTACACATTTGAAAGTGAAAATGTGTGGATCCGAGTTAATTTCACACATAAGTAGTTTAACGGAGTAAACCGCAAATATGAAACGACGTGAAATTAGTAAACGATCGGGTAAAATTTAAAGCTGTAGAAGCTTTGGCTAAAGTTAGAATTGGGTGAATGATAGCAAAATCGACACGTTGTTCAATACTTTGTATAACAAAGTATAACCATTACGAAATAAAACAGGAAAAGGCTATCTCCAATAAATACAGAAGATACTCGTTACTGCCGTATGTTTGTTCAATGTGGTAAGGGAAACACAATCCTTTTGTGTAGTTTGCGAACTAAATTAAATATAATTTGTGCTCAGTATCAGATTAGTGGCTCATAAAACTGATGATACAAACAAGCCATATAACATGTCTTAAAATGCACCTTCTTATTATTTGTAGAAACTTTGTTTTGTACCTAACACAGAGGTTCACAAACTTTTATACCTTGCGCCCCCCTTAAAACAATTAATAAATTTCAAGCCCCCCTTCCAGAACAAGTGCAAGCAAACAAATTTGACATAAAATTTAACTATGAGTATACATTTCTTTTATAATCTAGTATATATTATTCAATGCATTTAATTAAAAAAACTGTAACAAAATATACGCTTCATAGCTGGATTAGTGGGATGGATGTGGTTGCTTCTGTGAACATAACTTATCATACCGAGGTTGGAGTTTAGAAATGGCCGCTGTAAGGTCGTTTTCCAGGTTCATCGTAGAAAGATACTTTTTTTTATGGCTACCACTGCTGAACTGCCTCAACCAAGCGATCGACCTAACACAAAGCAAGTTCTTCTTAAGAAGTTAACAGTACGCTCAGCTAGTCGATAAATTCCCCGCCTTTTACAGAACCCAAACGTTCTTTTCCATGTCCACAGGAGCCAACCACAGGTACCTACCTGAGCCAGATGAATCCAGAGAATCAGCCCACACCCCTACTTGACTTCAGTAAGATATATTTTAATATTATCCTCCTATCTACTCCTAGGTTTCCGAATTGTCTCTAACACAGCATCGAAGTTAGAAGTACTGTACTGATAACAGACAGAGGCTAAATTATTGACCAAGCGTACAGGATGCTTATTAACAAGAGATGTCTCCTGGGCACTGACGGTGGATGGTAAGAACAATAGGCCTACTACAGAGCCATATTACCACACGAAAAAATACAAGTTTTGTGTTCATTGTAGACCACAGAAATGCTTCATTAATTGCAGTGCTAGGACACAATAAATTAGCTTGTACACTCACTACTGTTGTAACGTTTCCTTTTGTTAAGGCGCTGGTTAAAATACCAAACATTGACTCTGAATCATTTCTAATCCGTTTCTACTCGTGTCACTATAACTCTCTTCGGTAAGATCACCACAGCTATTAAGCACGAAATATTCAAGGCAAAGGCGTTTTCCATTTTTATAAACGTGCAGAAGAAATAGGTAAATGAATATCCCTCCTTTAGGATATTTCAGAGATCTGCAAAGTCACCATTTCCATGAAAGTCTTGGCATTTGATTCACAAAGTAAAGGACTCAGAGTTGCATTACTTTCTCTCTGAACTTGACTATTACATATTACTTTGACATAGTAAATTACTTTTTGTCAGGACAGACTCTGACGTAACCAAGATTCGAATCGTGTATCTCTCAAATATACAAATCAGATGCGTTACACCCAACATACTCTGTAGGCCTCACTGGCTTTGAAAGCCTTTTTCGTGTCTTTGGCGTCTAGACCATCAGACCTTCAACACCTTCTCTCCAGTGACGAGCGTAATGCAACAGAAGCTCAGAAACAAAGCTGTGACTGTGAATCTCAGATTTACAGAACCAAATGAGAGCAGTGGCGTTGTTTGCTGAATATGAAGAATTCTATTTCTACATGTGGTATGGGCTATTTGCGACAGTGTGTGTGGTAACAAACCCTTAGCAGTGAAAGTAACAAAATCTTAGCAGTGAAAGTAACAAAAGCTTAACAGTGAAGTAAACCTCGAACCTACAGAATCAAACAACAGTAATTGGGGGGGGGGGGGGGAAAAA